GGTGCCCCCGTTTTTCCCATTTTTCCCTTAATAATACCCTTCTCCTATGGTCCCACCTCTCTTGAGCTCCTTCTTTCCCTTTATCCCCTAGGTTCCTTGTATAACCTTCCCTCTCCACCTCCCCTTAAAATAACCCCATTATTATCCGCATCTCCCTTGTTAACACCTGTTTTCTACTGTACTTCTCTTTCAGATTCTTTTCCTTTACCTCCCTGGTTCCTTTTCATTATCCTGGTTCCAGTAGTTATGTCTGGATACATACTATCAGGATTTGGTGCTAGGATCCACATATGGGGGAGAACACACATAATTTTTTGTTTGTTTGTTTTTTCTGAGTCTGTTACTTCACTTAGTATAACACTTTCTAGTTCCATCCATATACCTGCAAATTTCATGATTTCCTCTTTCTCTACTTCTGAGTAAAACTCCATTGTATAAATGAACCACAATTTCATTATCCACTCATCAATTGAATGGATGTACAAATGTCTCTGCAATAGGATGAGTTCTTTGGGTATATGCCAAGGAGTGGTATAGCTGTTGGGTCAAATGGTAAGTTCATTTGTAGTTTTTTTATTTTTTATTTACTTTTTTGGTCTTTTTGAGATAGGGTCTCCCTGTAGCTTCAGCTGGCCTGGAACTCGCTATGTAGACCAAGGCTGGCCTTGAACTCACAGAGATCCGCCTGCCTTTGTCTCCTTAGTGCTGGGATTAAAGGCGTGTGCCACCATGCCTGGCGATTTTGTAGGTTTTTAAAAGTTCTCCATACTGCTTTCCATAGGGGTTGAACAAGTTTGCAGTCCCACCAGCAGTGGGTGAGTGTTCCCCTTTCCCCACATCCTCTCCAACATTTGGTATCATTTGTTCTCTTGATCTGAGCCAGTCTGACTGGGGCAAGATGAAATCTTAAAGTGGTTTTAATTTGCATTTCCCTAATTACTAGTGATGTTGAACACCTTTTAAGATGCTTCTTAGTCATCTTTGTTTCTTCTTTTGAGAACTCTCTGTTCAGTTCCTTAGCCCATCTTTTAATTGGGTTGCTTCTTGTCTTGATTCTCTGTTTTTTGAGTTCGTTATATATTGTGGATATTAAAACTCTCTCGGATGTGTTGCCGGTAAAGATTTTCTTCCATTCTGTGGGTTTTCTCTTCACTTTCTTGGTTGCTTCTTTTGATGTACTGAAGCCTTTTAGTTTAATGAAGTCCCATTTGTTGATTCTTGACCTTGTTTCCTAAGCAATTGATTCCTGGTTTAGAAAATCCTTCCCTGTACT